TTAAACATTGTTGAATTTTGATCTCTGCTCACAGAATATTTTCAGTGACCAAGAAAGAACATCTAAGAATGTCTTGTTGATCTGTACTGAATAGCCAGGCAAAAGAGTAAAGAACCTTGTAGCCAGGGCTTATTTCTAGAGCTAAGCAAGAAAAGGAAAAATAGAATCCATAGAAAAGATCCTTATGAGCATCAAAATCCAAAGTAGTTTTATATAGTCTAATAATTATAATTAGTATCAAACTGGGTGTAGGGGAAGCAAACCAAATCAAAGAAGCTTCAGGGCAGAAGCCTGCTGAAATATAATAATGTTGATTCCGTATGGAGCGTCATTCAAGAGGGCTCCCAGGAGCAGAGAATTCCAATAGCTGAAGGGCAACTTTGTCCTGTTGGAAATGGTACAATTGCCATTGTCTCTTGGTTCCACTTCTTGCCCAGGGAAAAAGTCTCCAAGGGAAAGACAAATGCAGTTAAAAGCGTTTTATCACTGCAAGTTCAGGTTTTCTCAGTTTGGTCAACTGGAATGTAATCCTGAGGTGAAGGGAGGATCTTTTTCTCAGAGGCAAAAAAACTAGAATAGAATAGAATGTGGAATGGAATGGAACGGAACGGAATGGAACAAAACAGAACAGAACAGAACAGAATATAGAACAGAAATAGAATAGAATAGAATATTTATATAGAATGGAATGGAATGGAATGGAATGGAATGGAATGGAATAGAATAGAATAGAATAGAATAGAATAGAATAGAATAGAATAGAATAGAATAGAATAGAATAGAATAGAATATTTATATAGAATAGAATAGAATAGAATAGAATATTTATATAGAATAGAATAGAATGAATGGAATGGAATAGAATAGAATATTTATATAGAATAGAATAGAATAGAATAGAATAGAATAGAATAGAATAGAATAGAATAGAATAGAATAGAATAGAATATTTATATAGAATGGAATGGAATGGAATGGAATGGAATGGAATAGAATAGAATAGAATAGAATAGAATAGAATAGAATAGAATAGAATAGAATAGAATAGAATAGAATATTTATATAGAATAGAATAGAATAGAATAGAATATTTATATAGAATAGAATAGAATGAATGGAATGGAATAGAATAGAATATTTATATAGAATAGAATAGAATAGAATAGAATATTTATATAGAATGGAATGGAATGGAATGGAATGGAATAGAATAGAATAGAATAGAATAGAATAGAATAGAATAGAATAGAATAGAATAGAATAGAATAGAATAGAATATTTATATAGAATAGAATAGAATAGAATATTTATATAGAATAGAATAGAATGAATGGAATGGAATAGAATAGAATATTTATATAGAATAGAATAGAATAGAATAGAATAGAATAGAATAGAATAGAATAGAATATTTATATAGAATGGAATGGAATGGAATGGAATGGAATAGAATAGAATAGAATAGAATAGAATAGAATAGAATAGAATAGAATAGAATAGAATAGAATAGAATATTTATATAGAATAGAATAGAATAGAATATTTATATAGAATAGAATAGAATGGAATGGAATGGAATAGAATAGAATATTTATATAGAATAGAATAGAATGGAATGGAATGGAATAGAATAGAATATTTATATAGAATAGAATAGAATAGAATAGAATAGAATAGGGCTGAAAGGGACCTTGGAGGTCTTCTAGTCCAGCCCCCTACTCAAGCAGGAGCTTGGAATGTCTGATAGGCAGGAAGAGGATAAAGGTGAACTCAGGATAATTGCTTGAAGCAGAGATGAAGTTTATTTGACAGGAGGACAGCAATTACCCAGACAGCAATCAAAGATGGCCAGTCAAAAAAGATCATTCCCTTGCTATACAGGTAGTCCTCTACTTACGACCACAATTCAGCCCAAACTTCCTATTGCTAAATGAGATATTTGTTTATGTGAATTTTGGCCCATTTTACAACCTTTCTTGCCACAGTTGTTAAGTGAATCACTGCAGTTGGTAAGTCAGTAACACAGTTGTTAAGTGAATCTGGCTTCCCCATTGATTTGGCTTGTCAGAAGATCACAAAGGGGGATCACATGACCCCAAGACACTGCAACTGTCGTACATATGAGTCAGTCGCCAGACGTCTGAATTTTGATCATGTCAGTTGTCATGGTTCCGACAGATGAAACTCTTCAAAGAACTTCGAGCCATTGTTTACCTTTAAAAATCTTTATTGGAGTAGCATAACTTTGGCACTAACGTAGTTGAAGCCAAAATCTGAATTCCCCTCCCCTGAGCACATAGTATCAAAGCACAATTCCCTCCTCTAATTTACAGTCATAAATCACATTCTCCAATCAGTTTGAAATGCAGACTTGCCCTCCATTACTCCATTCCGCCATTTCTTATCATCTCTTATTTCAAAAGCCCTGAATTCACACACTAGTACAATATTGTTATGTCTAACTAACACCCATCATATTCCTCCTCCTCCTCCCCCAGCATCATCTAATTCTAAGAGTAAAACATAAGAAAGAAAAAGGCTGCATCTCCATGTGTTGTCAAGCAAGAACATCCAATGTTAGCAGCCTTGGCATCAGCACAGGGATGCTGCAAAGGTCGTACCTGTGAAAACCGGCCATAATTTACATTTTCCAGGGCTGCTGTAACTTCAAATGGCCACTAAGCAAACTGTTGTAAGTTGAGGACTACCTGCACTTTAAAAACAGTTATTTTTAGAACAAAGTCCTTGTATTGTTCTTAGAAAGTGTGCAAACCTGGCTTGGCTTCAAGGGATTACTGGAAAGGACACTAGGTTCAGAAGAGAAGGACTGAGGCCTGGTTCCCAATGAGGTTTTCCAATCTTTTATGAGTGAAGGTGGTGACCTCGGAGTGCGGGGTTGTATAAGGAAATCTGTGATGGAAATGGAGAACATTTAATATCTACGAGGGAGTCCCTTATTTAGTTAAGTTGTTGGTAGTGGTCAATTTAACCTGTGTGAAGTCGTGCTTTGAAAGTCCAGTTACCTTTCGGGGAAAAAACACCTCTAGGACAAACATGACTTGAATGATTGTGAATCTTCATAGACCTGGAACTGAGAAGAAACTTCCTAACAGTGAGGACAATTAACCAGTGGAATAGCTTGCCACCAGAAGTCATGGGCGCTCCATCACTGGAGGTTTTTAAGAAGAGACTGGACAGTCACTTGTCTGAGACAGTATAGGTTCTCCTACTTGAGCAAGGGGCTGGACTAGAAGACCTCCAAGATCCCATTCTATTCTATTCTATTCTATTCTATTCATTATGAACAAATGGTTAGAAATCAAGGACTATCTGTAATGGGTGGGAAATAATGACTTTGGCTAATCACTGCTTATTTTAGTAATAACCACCCCTTCCCAAAGTTTTGGAATACATTTTATAAGGAAGCAAGCTTGGCATTTATTCTATTAACTTTCTTTTGGCACCAAAGATGCTTCGATGGTGTATTTTGTATTCCCTTTCACACTGCAGTGTGTCCTTCATTTAATTTTATTTCTGCTGATTTGAGTTCTCTGATCCAGCAGCTGCTTACAGTATATTGATTGTTCTTTCACTGGCTGTTGTTCTGGGTTTCAAACATGAGTTTTATATTCTTTCATGCATTCATTGTAAGCAGGGACTCGTTGTTTCGAGCAGAAGGATTCAAACTCTTAAATAACGAAACAGAAGAACAGCAACACAACATCTGAAATTGGTGCAAGCCAAAGAGCCCAACTGAAACACCATATGTAGTCATGATTTGTTTGAAGATCTGTTCTTAAGCCAGGCTAATAATTCTTCTCCTGTGTCTAGATCAAACTTTAAACTGCCAGAATAAAGTAGTTTTCTTGACTTTGTTGTTGGCCAAAAGTAAGTCATTATTGGCACACATTTGTGATAGTAGCCGACATGCCAGCAGATGGGCTGGGCTCTGTGTCTCTCCACATTAACACATATGTTGTTATCCAGTAAAAGCCTCCACTTGAGCATATTGGTTTTACATTTAGGCACTCCACCTCTCAACCTTTCAGGGTCTCCAGGTAACATACGGGAAGTCAGATCTTTCAGCCATATCCTCCTTTAATGTTATTAATTGCTGGATGGTCTCCTTCCTCCACCTTTTAATTTGGTTTTATTCTCGTGGACCCTCAAGAATGTTTGTTATTGCCATCAAGCTGTTCCCAGATCTGAGTTGGCAGGCTTGGATTTACGTCCTTTCAGAGGATGTGAAGGGTCACTCTCTTCTCTTGACATCTGCTGCTACTTCTCTCCTGATCTTAGATGGGACAAGCCAGGGTAAACGTAGGGTAGTAACAATGAACCAAGACATACATGGAAAGAAGTTAAAACGAAGAAAAGGTAGGGATTTGCATTAGAAAGAGAAGAGCCAAAAGCGTTTGGAGGGATTCTCTGTAAGAACTCTTTTCTTTAAGGGCCACAGAGAGATGCAACAAAGCTGTGGAGGCCATAAACATTTGCTTATTCATAGTAAAACTGTCCAAAAAACATTCTCCTATTTCTTTTCTCTGCAAACATCTTCTATTTTTCATCCTCTCCTTCTCCGTTTGCCTTATGATAGATTTCTCCTTTCTTTTCGGAGTCTCTATTTGATGTGATTTTATTCCTCTGAGTTACCCCTTAGTGCTCTCCGTATTTTCTGCTACTCTTCTCTTGGGTTGTTTTTTTTTAAAGGAAGCCAGGAAAACTAAGCAAACAGCAGAACATCTGAGAGATGACTGCACAACGAAAGACAACACACACTTACATATGCGTGCACACACACACACACACACACACACACACATCTAAGAGTGAACTTAAATGCCAGTGTGCTTAAGATTTTGCAGAAATTTTTCTTCTGGCTTTTTAGAGGGGAAAAAGAACTCAAAAGCAATTTCCTTGTCATCTAAACGGAAGAATTGTAAAAAAAAAAAAAAAAAGTAATGCAGAAGAAATCTATGCGCTGCACTCATTTACGATACCTTGACATAGGCGACAATTTTCAGAGAAATGGTTGCTAAGTAGAGAGAATTCATTGCAAAATCCATCAGGTTCCACCAGTCGTGCACGTACTCGTTAAAGCCGCCGTCCCACATTTCTTTGATTTCTCCCCAAATAAAACCTGTAAAGAGGGGGGGGTGAGAGAGGGTGAAACGACAACTTTCAATTCTCTGAAGTCACCGTTATTGGGCACCAAAGCAGAACACATTGGAAAAGATAATTAAAACATAACAGCAGGGAAACATCAGATTCCATCCTGGGCTTTTTTTAAATTAATTTATTTCTTTTATCAACAAGAATAAAACAGAGATGAGCTTCCGGTGTGAGGCGACGGCGATGGCGGCTAGCTTTTAGCCGTCCAGCTGGGGAAGTGTCAGAGCCGCGGAGCGCAGCGTGCATCAGCTGGCCCGCGGCTCGAAAATCCCTTCCCGGGCAAAGGGAAGGGACAGAGAGTGCAGGGATAGAGGTAGAACCCCTGAACCCCCTCTGGATTTGTTTCTAGAGGGGGTGAAAGGAGTGTTCCCTCGGAGCTCCTGCTGATCTCCGCCTCCCAGCTGTTTTTGCTTCCTAGGAAGCAAAAGAAACCGCCGCTTCTATCTCCGTGTTTATAGCATTCGGGTGAGTAATTTTTAAACGGACGGAGCAGTTTAAAGGATTTTTTGTTATAATTTAGGTGTTTATTTTTTTTATTTTTTGATTTCTACTATTATTCCTCCTTTTTTTTGTTATATTAGTGAAAGGATTTAAGATGGCGCTTTGAAAGTGTCGGAGTTTTTTTTTCCTTTCTCTTTTGTTTTACTTTCCCTTTTTAAGGACTGGTTTTTTCTTTTACTTTTGCTTTTGGCTTAGAATTTTTTCTTTTGAATTGTTTGCTCTTTTATTTTTTATTCTTTGGATTTACTCTGGACTTTCAAGGACTATAGTTTCTCTCTTTTTAAAAAATTTTTTTCTTTTTTTTCCCTCCTCCCTTCCTGGCTGGAGGGGAAAGGGAAGTGACAATTGTGCTTTTTAAAATGGCTTCAAAGAGGCAGCAGCCTTCCTCAATACCCAAGGTTATTTCTTCTCCTATAACTTCCACTGCACAGCTACAACAACAATCTAAACATGTACCACCGGCTCAGCCACCACCCTCCCCTCCTCTATCTGGACTTTCAGCACAAGAGGTTAGAGGCATAATGGGAGAGATTGTAGTTCAAATGAGAGAGGAAATGAATCAATTTGTCTCACAGATTAAATCAGAAATTAAATCTGATCTCCAAGAAGAGATAACGGGGATAAAGACTAAATTGCAAGAAAACAATAATGAATTACGACAAGATATACTGGCAGCTGTTTCAGGTTTGGCTACTGTGGTGGTTAAGCTCGATGCAAGGCTTGAGGAAGTGGAAGACAAAGTTGACTCTTTGGATGACAAAATTCAAGATGTGGAAAGGAAGGTGGACTCCTCACAAGAAGATATTTTGATGTTTCAGTACAGACAAATGGAGTATGCCCTGAGGATCAGAGGCCTCAAGGAAGATGTGAATCAAGATCTCGTGGAGGTGGTTCTTACTGATCTGGCGCTGGCCTTGGATATGGATAAAGGAGAATTACAGACAGAAGTGGAAAAAATTTATAGGCTCAACTCCTGGATTGCTAAGCAGAAGAACTTGCCTAGAGATGTGGTGATTTATTTTACAAAGAAGTCCCTGCGGAATGAGATTATACAAGCTTTTTACAATAAAAGATTTCAGATTGCTGCCCAAGATGTCATTATTTTAAAGGAAATCCCATCCAAAATTTTAAGAAGCAGGAAAGACTTTGCTTTTTTAACCAATGAGCTTAAAGCTAGATCGATGCCATTTAGATGGGAAATTCCGATGGGTATTGTTTTGAGCCATGCTGGGACACGCTACAGATTGAACACAGTTGACAAAGCTAGAGATTTTTATACTTCGGTCCTGGGTGCAGGCTCAACCTCATCTGGTCGGAAATCTCTGAGTGGCAAGGAAGTTGACCAGCAATCTGAGGCATTAGATTTGGTTTCCGCTGGGATGATAGAAGCTGTAAAGCAACGCCAGACGGAGGTTAAAGAGCAGAGGATGACCCGTGCAGCCTATAAGCGTAAAGAGAAGGAGCAACGTAAAAAAGAGCCTAAAGAGAGTTCTCCTGGAAGTGCATCACCGCCGGGGGGAGGAGCAAGACCCAAGAGTTATGCAACACACGCAGCTCTTTCAGAGTTTGATGGTGTCTTCTCCAGGCTGCGTGCCAAGGTAGATGGCAAAGTTTTTGACCTGGAATGTTAATGGATTGAATTCTCCTCAGAAACGCAAAAAAATCTTTTATTATTTGAAGCAACATACTAATGATGTTATTTGCTTACAGGAAACTAATATTTTACTTAAAGATCAGAAATATTTAGTTAATGCTCGTTTGGGATCTCATTTTATATCTTCTGCTCCTGGGAAGAAAGGGGGAGTTGTTATATATGTTAAACAAAACCTACCAGCTTGTCTGGTAGAATCAGATCCCCAGGGGAGATATGTGATGATTGAACTTGGTATTTATGGTAAGAAAATACTTATAGTTGGACTTTACGCTCCAAATCAACAACAGGAACAATTTTATAAGCAGTTACATCAAAAAATAACATTGCTTGATTATAGATCAGTGGTATTAATGGGTGATTGGAATGGTGTCTTAGATATACAAAAGGACAAGAAAGGTTCCTCTCCTTTTCTTAAACAAGCAAGGCTACCTAAAGCCTTTTTTGATATGAAAGAAGACTGGGAATTAAGGGATTATTGGCGGGAACGTAACCAAGAGGAGAGAGACTTTACTTTTTTTTCCGATAGACACCAATCTTTTTCAAGAATTGACTTTTTCTTGATTACCACGGACTTGTATAATAAAGTAAAGAATGTTAAGATTTTTTCTAGATCACTGACGGATCATAGTCCAGTTTGGATGGAGCTGATTCAAGAGAAAGAGGAAAGAAGATCCTGGAGAGTTAATGAAAATTTGTTTAGACAAGAGAAGAATGTTCAAAAATTAAAGGAGTGTTTAAAGGACTATTTTGCTTTGAATATGTACAAGGGGACTTCAATGTCAATGGTATGAGATGCAGGTAAAGCATTTATGCGCGGTGTTTTGATAAAAATGAATAATTTTTATAAGCGAAATCAGATTCAGAAACGTAGAGAACTTGAAGATGAAATTAAATTAAAAGAAAGGGCTTTGATTATAAATCCTTCTGATGAAAGTACTAAAGAATCTGTAAAGTTATTAAGGTCACAATTTAATATGTTGATAGCAGATCAAGCTGCAACCAACTTATTATTTATGAAACAAAATACATTTTGTAATGCTAATAAGCCGGGGAGATTGTTGGCTTATCAATTAAGAAAGAAACAGAGACAGAGAATAATAGAGAAAATAAATTACAAGGGTAAACTAGTTTCTCAGAAGGAATTAATTAAAAAATCTTTTTTGGATTATTATCAAAACTTATATAAATCTACTAATGTACAATTGTTAGATATAAATAAATATTTAGCTGAGGCAAGTTTTCATAAACTGACTGAGGATCAGAAATATGAAATTAATGGCTTAATTACTAAGGAGGAAATTGCCTCAGCAATTCAACAATTGAAATTAGGGAAAGCACCGGGCACGGATGGGTTAACAGCTGTTTATTATAAAGCTTTAATGGAGGAGATGATTCAACCATTAAATGATCTTTTTAATGGTATCTTACAGGGTTTAGAGATTCCTCCTTCATGGCGTAGTGCCTTTATATCATTGATTCCAAAGGAGGATCAAGATCTTACTTTACCAAAAAATTATAGGCCTATATCTCTTTTAAACGTGGATTATAAGATATTTGTAAAAAATTTGGTAAATAGGCTTATGAGGGTGGTGCATCATCTTGTGCATAAAGATCAATCAGGGTTTATAACAGGAAGGTATATGAAAAACAATGTTAGACAAATTATGAATCTATTAGAATACTTAGATAAGAACAACCAAGTTCCTGCAGGGCTCATATTTTTAGATGCTGAAAAAGCATTTGACCAATTGAATTGGCATTTTATGTTAAGAGTAATGGAAGAAATGAATTTTGGTGAAAATATATTACAAGCCCTTAAGGTAATATATCAAAAACAAACAGCACAACTTATTGTTAATGGAGGTCTTTCGGAGGTTTTCACAATAGAGAAAGTTACTAGACAGGGGTGTCCTTTATCGCCATTGTTGTTTGTTTTAACATTGGAAATATTATTGATCAAAATTCGAGAGTCTCAGGAAATTAAAGGAATATATGTTAATAAAAAAGAATATAAGTTAAGAGCTTTTGCGGATGACTTGGTTGTTACTTTGTCGCAACCTGATTATTCTGTAGTAAACTTATTACAGTTGATTCATCATTATGGCTTGGTCTCGGGTTTTAAGATTAATGTAAATAAGACCAAAATTTTACCTAAAAATATGTCTAGTCAGGAGAAGCAGATTTTGACTAACCTGACGGGTTTTGAGATTGTTAATAAGGTAAAATATTTGGGGGTGATGTTGTCTGTTTCTAATGTAAAATTATTTAAAAATAATTATGAAAGGTTGTGGGTCAGGGTACAGAAGGACTTGAAGAACTGGGAAAAGTTGCAATTATCCCTCATGGGAAGAATTGCAGTGATAAAAATGAATATTTTACCCAAGTTTCTTTTTCTGTTTCAAATGTTACCAATTTTGAAAAATGAGATTAATTTAAATGAGTGGCAGAAGGGTCTTAATAAATTTATCTGGGCAGGGAAAAAGCCAAGGGTTAAGTTTAAAATTGTGCAAGACTTCCGTGAGAGGGGTGGACTTAAGGTACCAAATTTGAAATTATATTATGATGCGGTGGTTTTAACACTAATCAGTGATTGGGTAAATTTGACAAATTCTGAGATACTTTATATAGAGGGATGGGATTTACTTTATGGGTGGCATGCCTATTTAATATTCAATAAAAAAATGGATTGGGCTTTTAAATCTCATATCTTAAGAATTTCTTTACGTAGGATTTGGAGAAAATATTATAAAAGTGATTTCAAAGTACCATTATGGGCTATACCTTGGCATGCGATAGAAGCAATAAAAAGAGGG